GTCAGTGAGTAGTAAAAACATTTTTTAATGATAAAAGACAACTTTTTACTCTAAATTATCATTACTATAATTCAAAAATATTATTTTATTATTTTTAATTTAATTTAATTTTATTTTATTTTTTTTTTCCCATTACTGTAATTACTACAATTACAATGAATGTAGGTTATTATTATTATTATTATTATTATGATTATTATTATAATACATATTAATTTTATTTACTTTTTAATTTAAGTTTTATTTAATTTTATTTAATTTTAAAATGGAAATGAGTGTGACTTTATGCTCAGTGAGTAGTAAAACTTTTTTTAATTATAGAATGCATCAAATTATACCCTAAATTATCATTACTGTAATGCAAAAAATATTATTTTATTATTTTGAATTGAATTGAATTTATTATTAATTATATAGAAATTGTGTAAATATTTGATCAACAATTTTTCAACATATATTTAAATTATAAAAGATTTGCATTTTACCCTAAATGCTTAATTTAATTTAATTTAATAATTTGTAGTATCATTTAAAAAGGAAATTTTTTAATTTTTAAGAAAACTTTATGCATATATATATGCAGTGTATATATATATATATATATATATATATGTATGCAGGGTTTGAAATTACTGTTGGTTTATTCTGGGTTTTTTTTTTTTTTTTGGCTAGTAGAAGTTATGAATGGCCAGTAATTTAAAAATTTAGTAGCCAAATTGGCTGGTGAGTGAAAAAGTTAATTTCAATCCCTGTATATATGTACACACACATATAAGATGTATTATTTTAAGCATTACTTCAACTGAAAATGTGCGTGGCTTCATGAGTATCATGGTGTCTATTTTGGCAGAAATTGGTCACAGCTGCTTTGCCTTTATATCTGCCGCGTGTAAACGTGAAAACACGATTAAACAGCATCTCAAACAGCAGCCGATCCTGAATGCGATCGGATTGCTTTGAGCGAGCGCGTGGGACTGAACTGAATGCGAGCGCGTGTTGGTCTTTTCACGGCAGACGAGATGTTTTCTGAAGTCTGGCTCAATGGCGTAAGGGGATCAGTGTGAACGTTTGTCAGTCTGGCTGCTGTTCTTCGCCGCTGCCCCCGCAGGTTTTCATGAGGAATGCTCCTCTATTTCTGGAGACGATGGGATTGTTCTCGGTCTCGTCCCTCGAGGCGGCTGCTCTTTTCTGCGTTTTTCCTCCGCTATTGTTTCTTCGGTCAGAGTCGCGTCTCAGGAGAGTCTCTGTGTATCTCGGCGCATCGCTGATGATGACAGAAAGCAGCTTTTATTACTGCGTGGATCATATGCTTAGAAATCTTTATCCTCTTTTGATTTCCCCGGTTCCTCTTAAAGAACAGCAGAGGAACCAGTCGTGCTGCTTTTACAGCCCCTGATCGTCCTTTTATGATCCTTTCTGTCATTTTAGGATATTTTATTCCAAGCTGAGTTTTATTAACTTCCGTTGAAATCATAACAGCATTTTGTCTTTATAGAATTTTATGAGTTTTTAGGTGATTCTCAACTTCAGATCATATTCACCTCAAAAAGAAAGAAAATGAGGCCTGGTTTTAGAACCAGTATTTTTATTTATTTATTTTTTCCTTTATTATATTTTATATTATTTTATTAAATCTTATTCCAGTTGAAAATTTAGGCTCACCCTAATTTTCAAATGAGAACTTACATTTTTTTTAGAAAATAGTTATTAAAAAAATAAAATTTTTTTACTCCAAATTATCATTACTGTAATGCAAAAAATATGTATAAATTTACTATAATACTATTATATATATATATATATATATATATAAAATACTATAATATACTATAATATTTCATTGTTTTTTTTGTTGAAAATGTGACTTTTTTATAATAAATTTTTTTATCACATTTTACCCTAAATTCTCATTACTGTAATTCTTTTTAATTTTATTTAAAGCATTATCTAAATTAAAAACGTGTTTGACTTTATGCTCACACCAACCGTCCAATGAGTACTTTTTTAAAAAATTATTATTTTTATTTAAAAAAAAAAACTATAACATTTTACCCCAAATTCTCATGACTTTTTATTACTTTTATAATGTAAAAAATAGTTTATGTGATATAAGTTTTATTTCAATTAAAAATGTGTACGACTTTGTTAGGGTTAGGGTAATGCAAAAAATATGTATTTTTATTTTACTTTATTATTTAAATAGCTTATTATTTGAAAAAAAGTCAAATAAATTGAAAATTTGTGTGACGTTATGTTCACACCAATTTTCCAATGAGTACTTTTTACCATAGTACTGTACAAAATAAGAAAGCATTTTTTATTTTACGGCCTGGACATGTTTGTTTAGGGGTTTTGTTATGTTTTGTCCTGAAACCTGTCTCCTCGGTCAGACTCTCGGACTGTAAATTCTCCTGAAAGTGAATCTCTGTCTTTGTGTTTTCCTGCTGTCCTCCAGAATCCGGCGCTGATCCTCAGCAGGTTTATGAAAGAGGGAGTAAATCAGGGATCTTTAGAGATGCTATTAAATCTGCTGGACACACGAGGCTGATCAATACGTCCAGCGCTCAGCCTCAACTTCACACATACATCACACTCAGACGGAGATATGAATCCTCTCTCTCTCTGTGCTGTTGTTGATGCAGGTGTTATTGGCTTGTTGTATTGTCCGCGCGCTGGTTACGTGTTTCTAATGAGCTCCGCTCACATAGCGCTCCAGCAGCTTCCGGTTGCCATGGCTGCAGCTTCCTCGTTAATTAAAGGATGAGTTTGTAACGTCTCTGATCCTGCGGCGGCTGGAACGAGAGGAAGATTTACTGCATTTGAGAACATGTCTGAAAACAAAGCAGCTTACAGTAATACTTACAACAAACAGCTTTGTGACACTTTAGAATAATGTACTTTTATATTCATATAAAGCAGGTTCCAAAAGTCGACACTGACCGCACTGAAATCACTAAAACATGTTAATGCAATTTAATTCAATATTTATTCATTTTAATTAAAGCTGGAACCGTTTTAGAATAATATACCACATGACTAAAAATCACTAAAACCTATTCATTGAATTTTTTAATGTATTTATTTGGTTGGGTATTTATTTGGTTTGTTAGTTGTGTATTTAGTTTATTTTTTATGTCAATTAAAGCTGCAAAACAGTTTTAGAATATACTACACTAAAAATGGCTAAAACCTGTGAAGTGAATTTAATTTATTCACTTATTATTTGAATATTTATTTATTTAGTTGGTTGTTATTTGTTTGTTCAAAATAAAGATGGAAAACAAAGTTTTAGAATTTTAAAAAGTTAGGAATAATGTATGATATTACTAAAATTACAAGAACCTGTGAATTAATTAATTAATTAGTTTGTTTGTTTGTTTTTCATTTCAATAAAAATAATTTTAGAATTTAGAAAGTTAGAATTAATGTACAACATCACCAAACTCACTCAAACTACTTTTGTTTGTTTATTTATTTATTCTTTATTTAAATAAAATGTCATTTAGAGCTGAAAAACTTTTTTTTTTTTTGGGGGGGAAAAATTATAGTAAAATATATTAACATAAGACATTTTTCATATTCATGTTTTTATATTTTTAATAGAAGAAATATTACATTTTATTATTGTAAAATGCAATATACACTTGTAGTTATGAATAGAAAAGTGCTAAATCGACATATTCTGCTGGTGGTATCAGACTTTGGGACCCTCTATGAATTCTAATAGTTGCACATGTAAGTAATATGTGAATATTCATAAGCATAATATTCATAATATGTGTGACAGTATGTGTTAACGACTTCCTAATGAAAGACACATACATACACTGAGTGCTAGGAATTAATCTGCAGGAGGTGTTTGTATTTGTGTCACATTCACAGCTTGTTTCTGAGAAATAAAGCGTAGTCCTGATGATGATGATGATTGTGCTTCATACGGCTGTGTGTGTTTGGTGCTGATGTGTGTGTGAGTGTGTGATGTGTGTCTGCGGTTCAGCTGAAGGTCTGTAGATCACAGCGGTCAGTGTCATATCTGTAAAGTAATGGCTGGCCTTTAAGTCGGCAGTAAATCTTCAGAAAGGCCTTGTTCTGCTCTTTAGCAGCTGAGTTATTCTCTGCTGACGCTCCAGATCTTCTTTGTTCTTCTCAGCACCGGCTCGTCATTAAACATCCTATCATATATATATACTGTGCATATAAACATAAATATAGGTTTATTTTTTTAATTATATATTTTTCATGAATTTATTTCTTTTTGGATTTTTTTATTTTTCTTTTCAGATTATTTTATTAAAACATAATTAAATTTCTCCCCCCAGAAACCAGGTTTATTTTGATTTCTGCTCAGTGTAGGAGTTTGACCTTCTTCCGTTGGAGGATCTGCTGGCTTTCACCGGATTTACAGCTGAACATCATGTAGGCGATTAGCGAATGACTAAATGATTCGCCAACAAAAGTTATTGATTCTATTAACCTTTGTGAAATAATTAATCCGTGTCTGATTAACCTAAACCCCTCTTAATTCAATTATCAGTGAGTCTGGGATAATGTTCAGCTAATTGCACCAATCACACGTTTTAATTGCGGGTTCGTTTGAAGGGATCGAGCTGCAGTTCTGACTTTGCTGCCGTTATGAACAGAAAACAGAGAAGTGAGTTTCTGATCAAAGAGTGAACTAATACGGAGAGATAGATGGAGGGATGCTAGATTGATGATGGGTGGATGGATGGATGGATGAATAGATGGTATAAGGATGGATAGATGATGGATAGATTGGATTGATAGAGGGATGTTAGATGGAGGGTGGATGATGGATGGACAGCTGGAGGGATGGATAGAAGATGAATAGATGGAGGGATGCTAGATAGAAGATGGATGAATAGATAGATGATGGATGGATGATGGATAGAAGGATGATGGACAAATAGATGGATGGATGGAGAGATAGATGGTGGATGGATAGAAGATGGATAGATAAATGGAGGGATGCAAGATGAATGGATGGATGGATATATGATGGATGGATGGATAGATAGAAGATGAATAAACAGAGGGATGCTAGATGGATGGATAGATGGATGATGGATAGTAGAATGGATGATGGATAGAAGGATGATGGACAAATAGATGGATGGATGAATGAATGGAGGGATATTAGATGGATGATGGATGAATGGATTGATAGATGGTGGATGGATGAATGGATGGATAGAAGATTGATAGATAGATGGGGGATGCTAGATGGATGGATGGATGGAGGGATGCTAGATGGATGGATGGATAGATGATGGATAGATGGAGGAATGCAAGATAGATGGATGGATGGTTGGATAGATGATGCATGGATGGATAGAAGATGAATAGATGGAGTGAAGCTAGATGGATGGATGGATAGAAGATGAATAGATGGATGGATGAATGGATGGATAGAAGATTGATAGAAAGATGGGGGAAGCTAGATGGATGGATGGATGGAGGGAGGGAGGGAGGGAGGGATGGATGGATTGATGGATGGATGGAAGGATGGATTGATGGAGGGATGCTAGATGGATGGATAGGTGATGGATAGAAGATTGATAGATAGATGGGGGATGCTAGATAGATGGATGGATGGGTGGGTGGATTGATGGATGGATGGAGAGATGCAAGATAGATGGATAGATGATGGATAGATGGAGGGATGCAAGATGGGTAGATAGATGGGGGATGCTAGATAGATGGATGGATGGATGGAAGGATGCTAGATGGATGGATTGATGATGGATAGATGGAGGGATGCAAGATGGATGGATGGATAGAAGATGAATAGATGGAGGGCTGCTGGATGGATGGATGGATGGATGGATAGATAGATGGATGGATGGATGATGGATAGAATGATGATGGACAAATAGATGGATGGATGAATAGAGAGATAGACAGAGGGACGCTAGATGGATGGGTTGATAGATGGTGGATGGACAGATAGTTGATGAATGGATAGATGGAGAGATGCTAGATGGATGGATGGATTGGTGATGGATGGATGATGGATGAATAGATGGATGGGTGGACAGAATGATAGATAGGGTACTATCTGCTGGTCTGACTGTAGTGGACAGGAAGCTGTTGGAGTGTGTGTAGTGTTTCTCCATCAGCTGATTCACAGGAAGTGCAGGAGGACGTCCAGCCGTAATACCGCTCGTAATTTCAGCTTCATTTGATTTATCTCAGCGTGTCTCAGAGACCATATCCTCGCTAAGACTCCAGCTCCGGCTTTCTTCATCCGCCGGAGAATTGCAGAGAAAAGCTCTCCGTATTCCATTATTTCTCCTCCGTATCAAGCTCTGTAATTTCGCTGCTGTGTGGCTTTTTTTCTCTGGGCTCGAGCAGAAATGCAGCCCTGCGTGTCAGTTCAGTGTTTTAATATCTGAGAATAGCGCAGTGCATTTTATTTTATGCTGTTGAGATCCCCTGCAGATGGATCCGGCCGCTCAGCGCTGTAAATGAGCCTCGAGCCGCCGGCTTTAGCAGTTAATTAAATGTGTTCAGAGGAAGACTCTTGGCTAACCTCTCGGCGCCGGTGCCGGTCCAGCAGCGGATTATCCGCTAAACACTGTCCTGTTGAAGCAAACGTGGAGTCGCTGTGTTTTCCAGGAAGCGCCGCTCATGTGTTTCCGCTGTTGTGTGTTTGAGATTTGCCAGTCAGGTGTTTAAGACTCGCAATGAAATGAAATGCCAGATTCTACTGGAAGCTCAAACGTTTTTGCACATAATACAGGTGTTGTCAGAATGCCATCACTTACACAAACATATCACAAATGTATATATATTATAAAAAATATATTTACTGTATTTATTATGTAAAACATTTTTTTTTTATGTATAAAAATATATATTTTTAATTTATATATGTGACCCATGACCACAAAACCAGTCATAAGTGTCCATTTTTCAAAATTGAGATTTGTACATCATCTGAATAAATAATCTTTCCATTGATGTATAGTTTGTTAGGATCGGACAATATTTGGCTGAGATACAACTATTTGAAAATCTG